TTAATTTTCTCACATACTCATATATTAGATTCATTTGTTTAGACTTTCCATTGTATACTTCATTATATGCTCGTGCTAAGGTGGCTTGACTATCACATAAGATGGGTATCGAAGAAATATCCTTTGCAACTAAAGGAATTTCATAAAGAAGATCCTTTAGCCATTCAACCTCTTTTCCTATTTCAGCCAATGCTACAAACTCGGACTCCATTATTAAGTGTGTAATGCATGTTTATTTCTTAGACTTCCAAAAAAATGCATCTCCTCCAAGAGTAAACACCCAACTTGAAATAGATTTGTTTTCTCCCACATTCGATATCCAACTAGCATTGGTATATCCTTCAAGAATAGTTGGGAACTTTGTATATTATAGTCCAAGGTTTTTGATTTTCTTTAAGTAATCAAGAACCATTCCTATGAATTTCCAATGTTACAAACTTGGATTTCTAGTAAACCTACTTAGTTTACTCATAGCAAGTGCAACATCAGGTCTTGTGCATTGTACCGTGTACATAAGACTTTCGATTGCACTTATATACTCAATTTGAGTTGTTGATCTTCCATCATTCTTTACTAACTTGATACTTGAATCTAATGAGGTATTGGCCTCTTTAATATTAAAATGTTTGAACTTATTTATCACATTCTCAACATAATGTGATTTGCTTAATGAATAACTCTCACTATCCTTTTTAACTTTGATTCCAAGGTTATTGTCCACTTGTCCAAAAAATTTCATTTTGAACATTAAAGATAGAAACATCTTCATTTCTTTAACCATTTCTATGTCATTACTAATAATTAACATATCATCCATATAGTGACATACAAATGTAATAATATTATCATATACTTTGATATACAAGCATTTATCAACCAAATTATGAGTAAAACCATATAACATAATAGTAATATCAAATTTCTCATGCCATTTTTTAGGGGCTCGTTTTTAAATCGTATAAGGACTTGATTAGTTTGCATACCTTATGTTCATTTTCCGGTAGAACAAACATTTCCAGTTGTTCCATATAGATCTCCTCTTCGAGATCTCCATTTATGAATATCGTCTTGACATCCATTTGATGAATATGTAAATCATAAATAGATGCTAATGCAAATAAGATTATTTTCGAGGTTATCCTAGCCACTTGTGCATACACGTCAAAAGTAATTTATTCCTTCTTTTTGTTGATACCATTTAACTACGAATCTAGCTTTATAGGTATTGAGTGTTCCATCGGAATTATATTTCCTTCTAAATACCCATTTACATCCAATGGATTTAGAACCATTTGGTAAATCAAATATTTCCCAAGTGTTATTTGATATAATAGAATCTATTTCATTATTTATTGCATCGTTCCAGAATATGCAATCTTTAGAAGATATTGCTTGCTTATGAGTTTTGGAACCACTTTCGACTTGAAGAACAAAATGAATTATTTTTACAACATTCTTCATATCTCTCTCTACTAAGTAGAAAGAAATAAGTTGGGAATTTATTTCATTCAATCCTAGATCTTTTCCTTTTTTAATTCTTTTACATCTTCAGGGTTCACTTTCAACAGCTCTTATAGATGTCACTTCTTGTGATTCTCTAGAAATCGGAACGTCTATATTAGTTTCATTTTGAGAATTTCATATTACCAATACATTCTCAAAAAACTCTGCATCCCTTGATTCTATGTTTAATAACATATACGTTTTGCTATTTAAAGCATATCTCACAAAGACACATTTAATACCTCTAGAACCTAATTTAGTTCTCTTAGGATCTGTGTTCTTGCAATAAGCAAGATATCCCCACACTTTGAAAATTTTAATATTTGGTTTCCTTTATTTCCATATTTCATATGGAGAAACTTTATCCATTTTCAAAGGAATCATATTTACTATATGGCAAACACTAAGTAAGGCTTCACCACATAAGTTAAATGATAATTCGAAATTTAATAACATAGCATTTATCATTTCTAAGAATGTCCTATTCCTTCTGTCCGTTAGACCATTTTATTCATGTGTTCGTGATGCAAAGCATTGATGTATTATTTCATTTTGTTCACAAAACATATTGAATTCATTTCATTAAAGAAGTATTCTCCATCTTTATCACTTCTTAAAGTCTTTATGTTTCTTCTTAATTGATTTTCAACTTCTGCTGTATATACCTTAAATGCATTGAATGCTTCATCTTTATGTTTTAAAAGAAATATAAGTATATCTAAAACAATAATCAATGAATGTAACAAAATATCTATTATCTCATCATGTTAGCATGTTATTCAATTCACATATATCGGAATGCACAAGTTCAAGTAATTGAGATTTTCTTTCTACACTATGAAATGACTTTTTAATCATCTTTGATTGAATACATGTTTCACACTTTTCTAAGTTATCAACTTCACATAGTATTAATGCACATTTAACCATTCTTTTCATAGTGACTAATCTACCATGTCATAAAATAAATGAATCAATAATATAAGTAAAAGATTTGTTTTTATTAGAATCATTCTCAAAATTATAAAGTTTGATCATTCCTTCCATAGTATAGCAATTTCTAACAAAATACCATTATTGTTAGTACAAGTTATTCCAACTCAAACACATATTTGATTCTCAATTTTCCCAAGAGAACCTCACTTGCTAAGTTCATATTCATTTCCGGTATATGAAGGACAGTGAAGATGATATCCACATTCCCTTTGCCACCACTTTAGATCTTCCTTCATTTCTCATTTAGATCTCTTGACCATCAATGCCATGATAAGTTTTGAAAAGAGACTTATCATAACACACATGGATGGTTGCGCAGGTATCATATTACAAACCCGAAACCTTGCTTTGGATTGCATTGATTTCACTCACCATAGCGATAATCTCATCAACGAAATTCACTTATCACTCCTTCTATTGTTGCTTTTCGTGCTTGCAATCTCTTGCATAGTACCCCGATTTTCCACAAATATAACAAGGTCCTTTGAACTTGGTTGTGAACTTTCCTTGATCCTTTTTAGGACCAAGAGGTTTACCTTTCTTCTTATACTTGTTAAAGTTATTCACATTGTCTACGGCATTAGCTTTAGAAGAGTCATCATAAGAACTTTTGATCTTATGTCTTGCCCTTAATTCTTCCTCTATGCGAAGATTTTTTGAATGTGTTCCAAAGAGAAGTCTTCGAAATTGTGAAGAATCATCTTTCTATATCATTTTCAAGTCCCCGAGAGTTTAGCAATAATTACTCCCACCTGAAAGGATTAACGAAGTTCGATTTTCAACGCTTTTAATTTTAGACATTGACTTATAATTCATGTACTGGATGCAACAAATGAATATTATCTAACATTTTGAAATCGAAATATTAGATATAAGAAATTTCTTGGTACCTTCCTCTTTAGCTTTATATTAGTTTTCAAGTGCATTCCATATTTTCTTTATCGAAGTGTTGTTAGTATAGATATCATACAACCGATTAGAAAGAGCATTTAGGATGTGATCGCGACATATCAATTCTTCCTCTTGGCTCTTCCTTCTATCAGTACGAACTTCTTCCGTATCTTCTTCGATTGTATCGGCAATTGGTTCCAAGTTTGGATCAAGTACATAGAAGATCTTTAACGCCATTAGAAGGAATTTATGTTTGTCTTGCCATCTTGTGAAGTTTGTTCCATCAAATCTATCCAGCGCACCAAATCTTGATTCATCAACTTGATGGTAGCCAACGTAGTTTCCGTCTCCATTGCAGTAAATGTAAATTATCATTTTTAGATTGTTAGAAATATTGAAGAGGAGAAGATGAAGATGGAAACAAGAACAAGATGAATTGAAGAATGGGGCTCGAACACGTATACGATACATTGTCCTAAAAACGATATTTGCTTCCTCTAGTATACTTTGAGGATTTCTTGGAAATAGTTTAAAGGATTGACAAGCTTTCAAAGAAGAAGCATAAAAGCACAATTAAATCTTCCTATTTGAGTTGTTGAAAACTTTAAGAAGTTTGAATATTTGATGAATGAATTGAAATATTTCAAGTAATGATTTACTTATTGTTTCTAATATTTGGAAATGAAAATCCATCATCTATTTATATTATTTCTATCCATATAATTCAACAATTCATAAAAAGTTGGAAACTTTTCATGAATCAACACCAAATTTCAAATGAAAAAGCAGCACAACGGCTATAAAAGTGAATCATGCGTACGCATGGTTATATCCTTGCGTACGTATAGTAGAAACAAAATTGCTTCAATTTCCTGTAGACAATTCCTCGTGTACGCATGGCCATTTGGCCTATGTGTACGCATAGGCATAATTTTCCATGTTTCAATTTTTGTTCGATTCATTCACTTGGGCCAAATAAATCTCTTTTCATGCTCATAAACTAATATAAAAACATTGTTTTGAACAAATTTACAGCAACATAGTCTACATAATCCCCTAAATAGTCCGTAGGCATGAAAAGTTAATGATATCAATAGAGTATCTAGTTCTATAATTGACAGCCAATTAACCGATCAAGTTGACTTACGAATCTATCAATGAGCAGGCAAAGCTCTAGCCTAAATGAAGTTCTATGTTTGAAATTTGAATAGATAAAACTCAAGAGTACATGAAATTTTCTTATTTACATTTTTATTAACTAAATCGAGGTCGAGCTTTAAAAAATAATTTCACTTTTTTACTTATATTTTAACTTTCTAAGCTTAGCATCTAATCACAAACAACTAGACAAATTCACCCAATACAAACTAAAGGTATGAATAATTGTACAACTTTATTCTCATATGGAAAGAAAAGGAAAACAAAAAAGCAAGAACCTAAAACATTAGCATAAAACAAGAAATACAATAAAACATGATATTTTTCTTGTATGTACAAAGCAAAGATCCAATTGTAGTTAAACTAATTACCTAGACTAGTTCTTAACAGAACCTCTCTAATTACGATTAACCCATCTTTTTCCAATTTTATTTTCTCAAATAGTTTCATCCTCAAGAAACACTAACGATGCTGCTATCTCCATTTCTGAAGTTTGACATCACACGGAATGCCGAGTGCCCTGTTGAAGATGACTGATCCCGATCCTGACCAGAAGACAATGACAAACTCAAAGACAATGATGATGGCCCGGTTGGGATATTCTGGTTAAGATGGACAACTGTTGAGGGAGTCGACGTGGGAA